CCCCCCCCCCCCCGCCCCAGCACCCTCGAGGTGCCGACACTTGGCCTGGAACCTTCGGCTTCCAGAATACGAGAGCGTCCCTGTCGTTCAAGCCTCCAAACAGGCCTGGGGCACTTGGTCACAACAAATGGAAATGGGCTCTTCGGAGACGAGGGAAGGCAGGTCCCGTGGCTGCCCCCAGTGTCGCCGCCCAGCACTGCTGGGACGTGTAGCCGGGTCCCCGTCGTGGCAGCTGTCCTTGCCCTGCAGGACACGGTCTAGTCTGTCCTGTCACTAATACCAGGACGCGCCTGAAACTGGGGCCTTATAAAAATAGAGGGCCTAAAGGTGGCACAGCGGTTAAGGCGCTGGACTCCCACATGGCCGGCCGTGGTTCTAGTCCTGGACCCAGAGGCTTATTCTGGGCATGTATGTGCATGTGTGCCCCAAATCCCAAGAGAAGGAGAGGATGTTGTGGTGTGACCGTCCCCCTGGGGGGTGATTTTTCGCATTCTCTCTCTGGGGCGAGGGCAGGTGCCCTAGAGCAAAAGTATCTCTGAAAAACGTTGACGCTGTCCTTTCCGGGTCCGCGGAGCTCCAGCATGGAAGAATCGAGGCTCCAGCCCTGCAGCTGGGCTGCAAAAGCCCTGCACGCGTCGCTGCCTCCTCCCCCTCCTCCTCCTTCCTGGCACAGGACGTGTGCTCACTGGAGAGAGACAGAGAGAGGGAGAGGCAGAGCAGGAAGCCCCCCAGGAGGACGCTCACCCTCTGCCCTGCTTCTCCACCTCCCACCCTGTGGGGCTGGGCATCCATGCGCGAGCTGCAGGGGCCAGGGCTGGAACCCGCGGTCAGACGGGTGGTACTCGGCTCCCTTACCCCGGCCGTGGGCTGCCCCTAGTCTCTGCGTCTGAAGGGAGAGAAGGGCGCGTCAGGACCGAGGTGCCTGGGTCTGCAATACCAGGGGACACGCTGCGCCCTGCGATTTCTGGAATCTACTCTGTTCACCCCCCAGATGAACCTCTGCAGCCCTCGTGGCCCTGCACGGAGGTCCGGGCTCCCCCAGAGCCTGCACACCTCACGGGGCCTTCCCTCCTTGTTTACCGGTGTGTTCCCCATGAGGAAATCTCAGCTCTCCCACTGGATCCCACAGAAAAACACCCAGCTAGACCCCAGTTCCTGTGAGCGTGTGCTCCATCTCCACCCACCCTGGGGAGGGAGCGGCTCCGAGTCTCAGGCCCGCATCGGCCCGGTGGGGCGCATAGTAGGCCCGGGCAGGTGCTCTGTCCACCCCGACTGCGTGCAGCCCTGCAGCCAGCTGCCTCCCCTTTCTGACAAAACGCAGGCTTTCCACCTACAGGACGGCTTTGTGGGTCTGTTCTTAAAATGCTATTTTTCTGGAATCTACCGCCATTCACCCCCGAGACGGACCTCTGCAGCCCTTGCGGCCCTGCACGGAGGTCCGGGCTCCCCCAGAGCCTGCACACCTCACGGGGCCTTCCCTCCTTGTTTACCGGTGTGTTCCCTGTGAGGAAATCTCAGTTCTCCCACTGGATCCCACAGAAAAACACGCAGGTAGACCCCGGTTCCTGTGAGCGTGTGCTCCATCTCCAGAACCACCCTGGGGAGGGAGCGGCTCCAAGTCTCAGGCCCGCATCGGCCCGGTGGGGCGCGTAGTAGGCCCGGGCAGGTGCTCTGTCCACCCCGACTGCGTGTGGCCCTGGAACTCAGACCACGCAGTCAGACATGT